TAGTGATCGCGAGCATTTCCTCATGTGTCTGTTGGCCATTTGAATGTCTTCTTTGGTGAAGTGTCTGTTCATTTGCTTTGCCCATTTTTTAATAGGATTATTTGTCTTTTTGTTGTAGAGGTGTTGGATTTTCTTGTAGATTACGGAGATTAGACCTTTGTCTGATTTGTCCTGTCCAAAATTTTTTTCCCAGTCTGTAGGTTCTCTTTTTACTCTTTTGGTGAAGTCTTTCGAAGAGCACCCTCCAGGTACTTCTACATGAATGGAGTTTGGAATGGTTTCCAGCTACTCTTCCAAAGGACACCTTCTTTCTTTGTGGGAGATTTCTTTATGCAGGCCTCCCTCTGCTGACAAAGGGCCAGGTTTAGGAGGTAGTGGGGAGCTGAGGCTTGTGTCCAAACTGAAGGACACAACAAGACCTTCCTTAGAGATGCTGGGTGCAGCAGAGCCCTGCCTGGGAAGTGCTGCTGTACCCTGAGAGCCCCCTCCCTTCCAGATCTGGGGGATTAGAGAAGACTTCCTGAAGGAGGTGACACTTGAGCTGGGCCAAGAGGAGGCAGAAACCAGGAGGGAGACCAGATCCTTGGAGCTTGGTCCAGGCCGAGGCAGACTCTGGGGATCCAGTTGGGCAGGACCTCTGAGGGTAACCTTGGAGCCATGTGGAATCCTGAGGACCCGCTCCCTCTCCTTGTTGCACCCCTCTCTGAGCTCCACTGTCAAGAGTTGGATCAGAATCACAAGGGTCAGTCTGGGTGGAGTCGGCCATTATGTGGGGGCGATGACTGGCTCTTTTTCAGGTAGAGGTGGCACCTCTGGGACTTCCAGGGCCACTGAGCTCTCCGTATCCCTCACCACCATCTTTCTGCCAAAAGGGGACACACAAGACAGAGGGTAATCGAATGAGGGGAGGGGTGGGGAGAAGTGAGGAAGGTGGGAGGGGCTGCCTCTCAGGCCACCAAGGTTCCCCTTTGCTACCCACCCACCCACCCACCAGCAGGATGGCAGGCCATTTCCTCTCTCTAACCCCACCTCCCCTCAACCTCAACGTCTGCCTGGCCACCCACTAGTGACTCCATTTTCTGTCTCTCCTTACTTCACTGCCACTTTGGGTGTGTCCTCCTTCACTCCCTGGTGCATGTTGTCTGGAATCTCATGGAAGGAGGGATTTCCTTGTTGATGTCAGATGGATCTTGGCTGAAAGCAGAGAATACCAGAAAGATGTTTACCTGTGTTTTATTGACTATGCAAAGGCATTCGACTGTGTGGATCATAAAAAATTACGGATAACACTGTGAAGAATTGGAATTCCAGAACACTTAATTGTGCTCATGCGGAACCTGTACATAGACCAAGAGGCAGTCGTTCCCACCGAACAAGGGGATACTGCGTGGTTTAAAATCAGGAAAGGTGTGCATCAGGGTTGTATTCTTTCACCATACTTATTCAATCTGCATGCTGAGCAAATAATCCAAGAAGCTGAACTAGATGAAGAAGAGAGAAAGCGGCATCAGGATTGGAGGAAGACTCATTAACAACCTGCAATATGCAGATGATACAACTTTGCTTGCTGAAAGTGAAGAGGACTTGGAAGCACTAACTGATGAAGATCAAAGGCTATAGCCTTCAGTATGGATTACACCTCAACATAAAGAAAACAAAACAAAAAAAAACTTCACAACTGGACTAATAAGCAGCATTATGATAGACGGAGAAAATATTGAAGTTGTCAAGAATTTCATTTTACTAGGATCTACAATCAACGCGCATGGAAGCAGCAGTCAAGAAATCAAAGGACGTATTGCACTGGGCAAATCTGCTGCAAAAGACCTCTTTAAAGTGTTGAAGAGCAAAGATCTCACTTTGAGGACTATGGTGCGCCTGACCCGAGCCATGACATTTTCAATAGCCTCATATACATGGGAAAGCTGGACAATGAGTAAGGAAGACCGAAGAAGAATTGACGCCTTTGAATTATGGTGTTGGTGAAGAATATTGACTATACCATGGGCTGCCAGAAGAACAAACAAATCTGTCTTTGGAAGAAGTAGAGCCAGAACGCTCCTTAGAAGCAAGGAGACTTCGTCTCACATACCTTGGACATGTTATCAGGAGGGACCAGTCCCTGGAGAAGGACATCATGCTTGGTAAAGTAGAGGGTCAGTGAAAAAGAGGAAGACCCTCAACGAGATGGATTGACACAGTGGCTGCAACAATGGGCTCAAGCATAACAACGATTGTGAGGATGGCGCAAGACCGGGCAGTGTTTCGTTCTGTTGTAGATAGGGTCATTATGAGTTGGAACTGACTCAACAGCACCTAACAACAACAACAAACCCCTCAATATGTACACAGGTCCAACGTCCATGGTGTTGGAAAACCTTGCTGTCTTTCCAAAGTAACATGCCAAAAGGTACCTTAATTTGAGGGGGTCATCCCACCTCTTCAGGCTTCTTCTCAAGGCTGTTCTACCCAGAGCTTGGCTGCGTCCAGAGACACAGAAAACAGTAAACCTTCCCTCCCTGGGAAGGTTTTATTTTCCTTTCAAATTTGTTCTTCTTAAATCTTTAAAAAATTTCTTTTAAAATACTCTCTTTTTTTTCTAACTATTTTACTGGTCAACTGTAGCTGGAACACTAACTTTGAAGCATTTTGCTGATGAAGGAATACTTGCTGACTTCCTACAATAGTTTTCTTGAAACAAAGGACATATAGTAGTGCCAAAACACCTCTATTCTCACTCCCACTAGTTCATTCTTTTCATTTAATAGTGCTCTTATGTGACTATTTTCAACCTCTTTCCCCTCCTCTCATTTCTTAAAGCTGAAATGGTCACCGGTTAGTATTCCTTTTTTTCTCCTACAGACCCCTGGGCCATGGTAAAATAGGTTCTTTATATCAAGGTGTTAGTTGTCATATAGGCATTGTTATCATTGTCCATTCCAGGTAGGTTTGTGTGTCACTTCCAGATCCTTGCCTATCCATTTATGTTACTTTTTTCTGGTAAGTGGTCTGGTAAGACTAGTCTTTCTCTAGGCCCTGTTTGTGACAGAACAGTAAATACCCTTCACTGTAGAGTAAGTCCTCAGTGGTAGCCTTGGTAATGATGGCATCATCACAGCTGAACCATTGGTCCTTTTGCTGCCAGATAAAGCCGGTATAGTGTCCACTTTCCAAAGTTCCATGGTGATTAATCACTGCAAACAGCGAATAGTTTTTCTCGTTTGGCACATTATCTGTTGGTGGCTGGTCCTCTTTCATTCTGCTCTCTTTAGTGGAGGCCAAAAAAGGAGTCATGTCTAGCTCCAAGGGAAATGAGATAAAGGTATTAATCTTTTGTCTCTGTTTGCCAACGTGTTCAAACCACTTGAGATGAAAACAGGCCACAATGGGCAATTTCTTCATTGTAAGTTGTTTGGTAGATTCCTGGCAGCTTTGGCAACTACTACATTTGATTTTGGCACTGCTTCCTAGGTGCTCTGGCCTTGTAAACCACTGTAGGCAGTCTGTGAGTGAGGGGATTCCTGGTATGTGGTCATTCCTGTTAACTGTGCTGTCAGTCCTCTCTGGGCTCTGGAAAGTGAATGTGGCACAAGAGCCAGGCAAGTCCAAACTGATATCCCAGCATGGATCTATTGTGGTGGAAACACCTTGGCAGGCTTGGCAGGTGACATCAGACTGCAAGCCACCTGTAAATATTTGGTCTATGATGCAGTTACAGCAGTTGGAGTTATTCACCTCCTGCCCAACACTATCATCTTTGCTGTGTCTATGCAGCACATCTAATACTGCAATAAGGAACTCATGGGCATCCTGTTGCCTGTACGCTGCTAAATGTTCTGCATGAATCCATATCAGGTGAAGTAATTTATAGGGAATGTGAGGAGTTCGGCTCCCAGAGTTCATAGCATGAAAAAGCAAAGACATTTCACAGACCAGACACAAGCTGGGGCTTGTCATTATACATTTGTGCTTGTCAGAAAGGAAGAAATCTTTCAGTAGAGGAATGTGGGTAAGTGCCTGGACAATACAATTCATAAAGCAGGTGTTTCCAAGCTTGATTAGCCCTCTCAGGCCTACCGTGTAGATGGACTTTTTTCTTCTCTTTTTCTTGGGTTTCAGCAGTTTTGGCTCCTGTTCCTTTGACTCACAGGTTGTTTGCTTCTCTTCAACACCTGATGTCATACACTTTTGTTGAAAAACATCTGTTGAGGTGGAAGTTAGTAATTTCAAAATTTTCTCTTCTGTTTCTTTGGCTATCTGTTCTATGTCTTTGTCATAAACATAATCCTTACATATAAAACAGTATATAACTCCATGATAGAGGTCTACAGCTAAATTGTGCTGTTTTGTTTCTGCTTGTTTGTGAATATGTTTCTCGGTAAAGCAGCCAAAAAAGACACAGGAGAGACAAGAGTGGAGTCTGTTCATATGGGTACTACATACATGACAGATACACGACTTTGCCTTACGTTTCCTAGTCTCCGGGGTCCCACTCCAAAGGAAACAATGGTAAATCAACCGCAGGTTCTTCCGCTAGTTTTTAGCCACTTTAAAGCTCTCCACGTGAGAGCAGCCAGTGGGACCCTGATCAAACTCCATCTCCAGCAACCAGTCCCATGAGCCGCCTCGATCCCCAGATCCGCCTAGGTCACCAGAGCAGTTTCACCTTGTCTGAGGCCTGCACCGGGGCCTGGATCTACACCGGGATCTGCACCAGGGCCAGGACCAGGGCGGGGACAGCGGCGGCGGCAGAGTTGGGCGCAGGGCGTGGACAGGAGTGGGGGTGGGTCGGAGGGTGGGGGAGGACCCTTGGATCCCGCCCCCGGGCTGGGGCCGAGGGCGGGGCTTGAGGCGTGGGAAAACAGGCGAGGAGCTGCTATGACAGCGAGGGGCGGTTGAAAACAGGAGCACCTTCTCGCTGCCGCAGCTCCTCAAGTTCCCCTTAGGTGCAGGTTTACGCTCTTGTAATGGCTTCAGCTTGAACTCCTCAGCTTCCCAGCCTGAAGATGCCTTAGCCGCTCCCACCGCCTCCTCCTCCATTTCCCCTGCCTTGTCAGCCACCTCCTCAAGCGAGACTCCTCCCCCAGCTCCCGAGTTCCGGGAGGGCACTGAGCAGGAGGACAACGAAGCTTTTCTAACCTGGGCCATCAGCTCGCCGCCCGGCCACAGGAGAAAGGCATCTGGAATGGAGCTGCGACTGTAGCTGGAATGAGACAGGGACTTCTGTGAATGATAGGCGTCAAGGCTGCGGTACGCCGTTAGCGCCCCCAAGACTCCTCCCACCCGCCCTCCTGCTCAGCCAGCAGCTACTGCGGGCTCCACCTCCTGTAATTGGAGGTTCCGGGAGCCGAGGTGGAGATTGGGGCGGTTACCTGGTTTTAAGGCAATCAGATAGTGCGGGAGGTGGGGCGGGGGGGCGGTAAAGAGGACGAGGGGAGGGTCACGGCCGAAGCTTAGGGTGGAAAGGGATGGAAAGTACTTGTAAAAAGGCACCACCGTCTGACAGCCTCCTCTGCTCCTTGCGCAGCCTCGCTTTCATATGGCTTCCTCTGACGTTTTTTCCTTGCATCCTAAAAAACAGTCGGGTCAACATTTCACCTTAAAAAGGACTAAAAGAGAGCCACTTTCGGAAAGTAAGCTCAGGAGAATATGGTGTCACTCTGCTCCCACATTACCTATGTTTCTGGGGCAGGGTGTGTTACACCCTCCTCCCCTTGCCCCAGACGCGCTTTTGCGCCCTCTCGCTCAGTTTCCCTCTTGTGCTCCCATTCACAGCCCTTTTCTGGCTTCTGCACCCCTCTGATCCTTCGATTCAGCCTAGAATTCTGTCTTTTCTCATACCGTCCGCTTGTTCTCTACCCCTTGGCCTCAGTGCACGCCCCCGAAGTCCCCGTACCTGTCTACCTCGCCCATGTAACACCTCCAGCCCTGCTGTTTGTATAAAGGTCTGGGTTACCTTGGGCCCAGGCTCGTGGTGCAGAAAGTCAGCAGCTGCTGCTGTCCGGCCACTCCTCAGCCAGCCTTCTCTCTTGCCATCTCCTCAGGGTTGGTCACAAGGGGGCCGCCCCCTGGCCCCTCCCCTCTCGACATGTGGCCCCCAGCCCGGGATCATGCCTTTCCCCGGTGATGAATGGTACCGCTGTCCCTTGCCAGCAGACAAAACCTCTTCCTGATGCAGACTCTGCCGAAGGCAACAAGAGCGACTGATTCTAGAGAAAGCCCCTGAAATGGAGGCTCCGGCCTCACCTGGCTCCAGGCCCTGGCTCCCAAGAAAAAAATATTCATTGGTGGGAAGAGAGGGTGGAGTGGTTGCAGGGATGGCAGCTCCCTGACATGAATCCCTCAGGGTCCCTTCAGAGTCTGATTTCTGGGACTAAGTGGAGAGAGAGAGGTTACCCTGGAGAGTGGGGGAGAAGAAGTATAAGCATAGGCTTCAGGCTCAGATGCACCTGGCACTTGGTAGCTGTATGACCTCAGATAAAACACCTAACCTCTCTAAGCCTTGTTGTGTCATCTGTTAAACAAACTGGAAATAATAATCCTAACCTGTAGTGAAACTACATTATAGTCTCTATAAAGTAAATAGTCTTTATTGGAAGCTTTACCTTTATCTTTCACACCTCTCAATCCCATCCTTAAAATCAACATATAGCATAATGCCTGATACTAGAGTAATAGAAAAGAGAACACCCCTATCTTACAAAGCTCTATCAAAGTTATTTCTCAGTTTACCTGATCACCCCTACTAAACAGAGTGTGTACATGATGGCTCATGCAACAAATGCACAATAACTGAACTACTGTGCAAGGTTGTGCTGTGAGAAATAGAGTAACGGGATTTTTGTCCTTAAGAAGTTCATAGCTCAGGAGAATTTTCCTTCCCTTTGCATGAAAGGAACCCTGGTGGTGTAGCGGTTAAGAACTTGGCTTCTAACCAAAAGGTCAGCAGTTTGAATCCACCAGCTGCTCCTTGGAAACCCTATGGGGTAGATCTTGGATGTCCTACAGGTTCATGATAACATATTTAGGTAGGCGTTT